TGGAGCAAGGAATGTCTATGGAGCCACGTATATTAGTGACGCCGCCGGGAGAACTGGCATTAGTTGGCAGCCCTCTGAAAGTTTCTAGCAGCCAAGGTTCCACTGCAGCCACAACCCCAGTCGATCTCATACGGGAACCTACTAGTTGCACCTTGGTGTTTCTCCGCGGCCGGCAGAACACTGTGATGGAGGTGGCAACGGGTGTGGCACATCCTCCCGGTGGCTTACACCACAATAATAAGATATCGTCGGAATACACTAGGGTCGAGGTGCATACAGTGAAGCCCGAGTTCATGTAGTGGAGGATAGATTACGCAACTCCCGAGGGGCTGGTGTTACTCGGAGACATTATGGGGCAGTTCATCCTCTGGCACAAACAGGACATTATATTGACTACTTCTTCATCGCCTCTCCCTCTCCCAAATTTGGAGCGAGTTGTTGAGGCCGGGGAGATATTTTCACCGTCTCGTGACCCCCACATTCCTAAGATGTCACATTCTTCCCCGCCTCCTATTGAGCATGTGCCTGATGAGATGCCACAACCTTCTCCAGCTCGTACCGGGCAAGTACATCATGAGATGCCACAGTCTTCTCAACAAGCACAACCGATACATGAACAACGAGTGCCTCCTAAAGAAGGTGATGCACAAGAAGATGAGGACGTGCCTGAATGGGAACTCCGAAAGAAGATTCCAATCAACATAAGGCCAATTTATGTTCCGATCAAAGAAGTCTCGTCGGTGTCCAAGTGGTATTCCCATGATCAGTTCAAGCCTGAAAACCAAGTTAAAAAAGTCCCATCACGGGGTTCTAAGGAGGCCGTCAGTAGCAAACTCCACCAAATTGCAAAGCAGTATCCAAATGTTGATGCCATCGAATGGTCAAAGGATTGCCCTAAAAAATATGAAAGAGGCAACCCCTTCCTACCAAACTGGGACATCCAACGCCTACCACTTGGAATGAGAAGGTTCCATGATTGGTACTTGCGTGTTCTCCCAACGAGCATAGATATCATACAAGCATGCTTTCCCACCAGCACATTTGGAAGCCCAGCAGGGAAAATTGTCTTTGACTTCAATGACATGCACACATGCTTTCACCTGGGAGAAATGGAGATGAATCTAATTCGCACGTGGTGCCTGTAAGTCCTTGTCCTCCCGATATGATATGAATGTAATCTTTGAATTATGTTGTAACTAACCCACGTCGTGATTTGTAGAATGCAAGTGCACATTGTCAAACAAATGCCAAGTGTGAAAGCCGGGTATGTAGACCCTCAAGCTATAGCCCAAACAAATTTTAATTACCCTAAACGGTGGACACTGGATGCCAAAGAGCTAGCAGCTGCAAAGACTCTTCGGGAGAAATAGCGCATCCGTAGTGCGAAGCTAAGGGAAGAGTCCCTTAAGGTTGCGGCATACATTGCCTTGGCTTTCAAAAATCTCCAACACCACTCTACTATATGGCTACCATACAACTTCGAGTAAGCTCAACTCTATACTTAAAGCTTTGTTCAATATATTTCATTCGATGCAAAAGGGCTTATCTAGTTCTATGATTAAATACATGCAGCAACCACTGGATTTGTATAGCCGTCGATGTCGGGAGGAGCATGGCATGGGTCTTTGATTCATTAGATAAGGACACGGTGACATACAAAGACTTCATATCGATTCTCAAGACGTATACATATCGACAATCCTCATTAGCTTATATGTTTGTATACATACTTGTAACGTTCACTTTTGGATACTAACAAGTTGTATTTGCTAAAATAATTCGAACAGGGCATTTAGGTTCTATGTCACTAATCATCATGGAAGGCATGATCCAGCGAGGAAGGAAAAGCTGGCTATAAAAACACTATGTGCGGTAAGTGTAACTTACTTCTTCAGTACTCCGTTACATGGCTGTCAAAAGCATTACTAAACATTTTTATATGCAAAACACACAGTGCCCCAAGCAGAAGCCTGGGAGCGTACATTGTGGATACTATATATGTTCTATGATGGGTAACACCGGTGCCTACAGGAGACACCCCTTAAGGGTAAGTTTGAACCTCTTCACCCATAGTATAAAAACTTCGTAAATGGAATGAAATACTAAACCGAAACTTGTTTTCTTGTAGTGGAGAAAAGAGAAAGGAATGAAAAGAGACCCATACAAGGATGACCAACTCTTAGAGCTCGTCGGCGACCTTTGCAACTTCATATTGGACCAGATTGTACACGTCAGAGGCGCCTACCATGACCGAGAGTCTGAGTTAGGTACAAATCCTCAGTACCAACACCTTCGTGAGACAGAAAGACTAGCTCTAGGACGGTGATAACAATGTGTATGAAATTTGTATATTTAATGATGGATTGTATATATTCATGTGAATTGGACTTGTAATTGTAGTTTATAGAATACTCTTATGTTTGTAGTCGCGGTCGCGGGGTGTTCGGCAACGCGAACGCTGGTCACGGGGCGTTCGGCAACGCGAACGCAGTTCGGAACGTTGGTTGTGGGACGTTCGGCAAAGTGATTTTGAATTGAAAATTTGATTTTTTTTTGCGGGAAAACGTACTGTAGGGCGGTTCTAGATTGAACCGCCCCTACAAATACCTGTTGGTAGGGGCGGCTGGTACTACAGCCGCCCCTATAAATTGATTTGTAGGGACGGCTGGTAATAAGAGCCGCCCCTACAAATCGATTTGTAGGGGCGGTCTGGAAACCGCCCCTATAAATATATGATTTGTAGAGACCCTTGCGTAGGGGCGGCTGGGTAAACCGCCCCTACAAATGGTCTACAACCGCTCCTAAAAATACTTTTTGACGTAGTGTCTAGTTGTCCAAAATAAATATAGAAATCACGCACACAAACATTTTCCAGTAAATAAAATAAAATATATAAAAGTGCGAAACATATAGCTTCAATAGAGTAGATACATTTTTCCTATGCAGGCTAATATGAACAGAATTTTTGTATTAATTCTATCAGCTTTGTTAAAGTAGTCGGTAAGTACTAATGGTACTTTTAGGAATTTTTCCTTCTATTTTTTGTGGTCAATAGAATTTTGTGTACTAATGGTACACTTTCATCTCAGCCATGCTATGAAATACCCCAGTATGGATGACAACGGCAATATCCATGGACAATATCACATCCATATCAAACTAGCACAGATGCACAATTTCAGAAATGAAACGCAAGAAGTAAATCTACAAGTTTAGCTCACAGACTATTTGTTTAGAACACTGAACTTTTTGCCTATGACAATTCCATAAACCTCTATTAATTCTAAGTGATGTTCCTAGGACAAGCTGGTACTACATTAGGATTGAGGACAACACTAGGTAAAATACAGATGAAGATCCATTTTCAGAAGGTGAAATCTTCTAGATGTACCACTGGTCCACTGTATATGAGTGGTTCAGCAGAATTCAGGGTTTGCTTACCTTATCTTACTTAGAAAGAGAACACCTATAATAAAAAACTATTGCAACACAGCTAGAACTTCTATATGGAAGAAATTAATGCAGGAAAAAAATTAGTATCAATCATTTTATTAAGCCCTGAGAAAAACCTGAATGAGGTGTCACAAAAGAAATGCACCAAAAATAATCATAATACTGTCACATAATCAGTAGGATTTATGATCGCAAAAATCAAACGCATACTCACCAATTGTTTCGTGCCTAATGATGACCACTTCCTTGAATGCATGCTCGTTTGATCTGCATAAAACTGTATGAGTGAACATCATTTGAATTGTGATTTTGGAATGATAAAATGGCAATAAATCTGCTCAGTTAAAATGACAGTACTAATTTGCTAATATGCCTTGTACTTCTCGCATTAGAAAGAAATGGACACAAATCCCTTGTGCTTCACAAGACGAGTGCAATTAATGGTACTACTTCACAGCTCATATGATCCAAATCAAAGAGAGATTGTTTAGATATACATGGAACACGAGGAAGGGATGAAGGGACAGTGACGGTTAGAAGGAGGAACGAACGAGGTAATTCAAAACTAATGACCAACTAAAACCTACTTATCAAAAACTATACAAGATCTATCTAAATGTGTACTATAGTTTTGCTAAGTTTTGCTATCACTAACACAAGAGAGTTATGCAACCTAGATTTTAATCCTATCAAATAACCTTACAAACTAGACAAGAAAAGGTAAGCATATAACCAAGAGATGCCATTAAGTATGGAAGTATAAATGAGGTAGAGAATGCAAACTCCCATTGATGGTCGATTTTTCCCAAGGTATCGAGAATCTTGCGCTGCCCACTAGTCCTCGTTGGAGCCCCTCGCAAGGGCCAAGATCCTGGCCGGGTAACTCCGTGGATAGCCCCCGGGTCTTCCCGCGGTAACTCCTAAATTTTTGCTGACGATATATGGTTGCTTCACGAAACAACTACCTCTTTCTCTTAGCTTCTTGTCTCTCCTCCATGTCATAAAAAAAGACTACGTGGCATTGCATTAGATAGTCTTTAAGACTGCTGATATGTAGCACTGTACTTGCCTTTAGTAGATTTTATTCTGCCTTTAGTTGCATGAGACAGTCTTTCGGATCTGATTGTGGAGTTTGGATTGGATGTTGTCAACATTAGTGCCTGACAGCCTGAGTACCCTCGTGGGGTTGGAAGGAGGCCACAATACTGAGGTCACGCTCGACGTCCACAATCACTTCCCAATACCATAGCAAAAAGCCTTAATATCTGGCATATGAAATAACATTAAAATGTTTTGTATAAAGAAATATGTATCTTATATGTTTTGGCATCATTTTCTTCAAACATCATGCAAAAAAATTTTGATACTAACTTTACATTTGGGAGATCATACCAATGTCCGGTAGGGATTTCTTAAATTTCAAGAATAGTTTTTTACTTCTTTGTCCATAACATATATTTTGCTAATATTAAGGCGTGTTCGAACAGAGCTTAGTTCCAGCGAAGGAGCAGGTCAAACTACTAGTTTACAACTTGGAAAGTTGTACCATGAGCTCAGAAAATGCACAAGAAAATATTGTTTGGGTAGTTGATTTCAGTGGATGGACAGTATCAAGTACTCCATTGACGGAGTCACGTCAATCAGTGCACATAATTCAGAACTATTATCCAGGGTTGGTAGGAGCTGCAATTCTTTGCAACCCTCCAAAGATATTCGAATCCTTTTGGAAGGTACAGTATTCCCGAAAGCACTACTATACTCTTCTAAGTTTAACAACACCATTCATAATTCAGATATAGGTCGTCAAACATTTCATAGAAATAATAATATATTAATTCATTAACTGTATTGTCAATGTATATTGTGTTTTATATTTTTATGGCATATTACAATGGAATTAATGTCAAAGACATGTTCAATGGATAATTTGTTTCTTGAAAAGTTTATATGTTCAGAATGGTATGCTCGACTCCAAATACTGATGAGTGCACCCAGCGCACATGTAATGTACATAGTAGTACTTCTATTGTAGGCTCAGTTGAATATTGGAACTGACAATGTACCCTTGCATCCCTGAACTGTGCTTTCCAGAACATCTGCATGCCTTAGTTCTGAAAACTTGCTTTTGTAGATACTAAATTACTTCATCGAGCCAGAGCTGAAAGAGAAAGTGAAATTTGTCTACACTAACAATTCCGAGAGCCAGAGAATAATGGCTGACATGTTTGACCTGGACAAGCTGGAGTCTTCATTTGGTGGCCGCAACACCTCTGGTATCGACATTGTCAAGTATTCTGAGAGAATGCAAAGAAGAGATCAGACTAGGAATCTTCATATTCGATAAAAGCAAATGGAAATTCCTCTTCATACATACCATTGCACTTGCACAGTTCGTCTTGTCGAAGTGTACAAGAATTCTACTCTGAGCAGCAAAGACGGGAAGGCGAGATTGAAGCCTTGTCTTTACTTTATATATGACCTTAAGAAACTGTTCAAAAAATTTAATAAATTAAACTCGATTACTATGGAATTCTTGGAGGTTAAATCATAACAGCTCAGGATGATTACGATGTCTGGTCGATTAGCTCCAAATGATTGGGATACCAGATTCTGAATGATCTGTGTAATATATATGAGATGTCATGAGAATTCATGGGCCATCCAAACGGTCAAAGTTCTAGATAGCCGGCTATGACCTTTAGCGTCTTATTTTATTTCTAGAGACCAAGAAGCAATGATGGGTTAAATAGCCGCTTAAGCCATTTAGCGGCTGAACAAAAGACATGTCAAACATTAGGGAATTTAACATATATATAAACATAAAAGATGAACTGGATATTACAAATACCAACAAACCATTCATAATCTCACAAACATATCAGTCCATATATGATAGAAATGTCACAAACACATGAGTCACTACTATTGTAGATGTTTTCGGAGGCGGTCGTTTTGGATTAATGGAAGTGGGCACAGTGTCCGCCTTTGGTAAAGGGTCACTGTTAATCAATATTTTTAGAGGTGGGTGCACTCTGTTAACCCCATTAATGGAGAGGCGCCTTCCACCTTTAATGGGACTAACAGAGGCAGACTTCTTAAGAGAGGTGGATGCACTTAAGATGCCCGCATCCGTTAATGATTAATAGAGTCAGCTTGAATTATTTCATTTCTTGCCATCATACTTGAATTATGTTTTCACAATTATAAGATTGTTGTAAACTGAATACGATGTACTTAGAAACACAACTGCCAGCCCCAATGATATGATATGCATGCTATATATAGGGAGAGTATACTCTGTAGCTAGCTACACTAGTCAAGCGTCCGATCTTAGACAGCTTTGTGGCTTGTGGACTCTGTCGTAGCACACACAGAGATTGTGCGGTGCTCCGAAGTGAGATCACATTGTGAGGGGTGTTATGCTCGTTCCGTGGGAGATCGCAAAGAGCAACTCAAGTAGAAGCAAGGTGTGAAGAGTGTCAAGTGGTTCATCCGGATCAAGTGCTAGAGCTCAACTTGGGAGCACACCTTGAGGGGTGAGAGCAAGCTTGCGGCCTTGCCACGAGCAAGAGGATCAATGGCAACCTTCGGCTTGCCTCAATGGGGATTAAGTGTTTGGGAAACCACCGAACCTCGAGATAAAAATAACTATGCCAACTTTGTTTCCCCATTGGTTTGCATCCTGTAATCTCACTAGGTTGTATTTAGGTGTACAGAACTTGTGCTAGTAAGTAGTGTTGCTCTTTTGTAGTTAGTTAGCTTGTGTAGTTAATTAGTTTCTCTCTTGTGCTAATTAGCTTGTGTAGCTAAGTAAGCTTAGCTTGTGTAGCTAAGTTGTGTAGCTCTCTAGTTGTGCTTGTGTAGCTACCTAGTTGAATTGTGCTAGTGTAGCTTGCTTTGTGCTTCTGCTGACTAGTATTTGTAGGAGCTTGCTTTGTGCTTAGTTGACTAGTTGTATAGGTTTTGTGTGACCTTGTCTGTTAGACTTGATTAGCTGAGCTCTCTCTAGCTCAGTGCCTTAGAAAAATCTTGTTGTTTCTTTTATTAGGCACTTGTGATAGAGGGGTCTAGTTGAGTCTGGACCAATTTAGTTTAATTCTGCATTTGTGCTGGTTGGTCGGCTCGATTAGGATTTAGAAATGACTACTTCACCACCCTCTAGTCAGCTCCTTGTTCGTATCAATGATGGTAGAAGGTTTGTTTGTTTCATCCCTTTTTCCCATCCAATATCAAAAGTCTAGTTTGATGAAGATTTACATATATAACTATGAAGGGAACATGATAGACACACTAGAGGATATTGATTTCTTTTACTTTGCTGCTGCTGAGGGAGGAGACAAAGGCTTCAAATCTAGCACACATGCACACACTAAACATCACATCCAGCCTTGATGCGGTCACATAGAGTAGGCTTCCAATCATAGACCGATACATCTTTTGATCCACCATATTACCACTAGCATCACTATCCAAGCTTCCATTTGTCTCCATTGGTGTACTAATTGGTTTGCTCTCATATATGCCAAACTCCTTGAGCATATCTTTGATGTACTTGTCTTGACTTACAAATGTGATATTCTTCATTTGCTTGATTTGAAGATCAAGGAAGTAACTAAGCTCTCCAATCATAGACATCTCAAACTCAATTACCATCATCTTTCCAAACTCCTCACAAAAATCTTGATTGGTTGATCCAAAGATAATTCATCAACATAGATTTGCAACACAAACAAGTCCTTGCCAATCTTCTTAGTGAAGAGAGTGGTGTCAACCTTGCCCATAATGAATCCCTTAGAGAGTAGGAGATCCCTCAATCTCTCATACCATGCAATTGGTGCTTGTTTTAATCCATACAAAACCTTTCTCAACTTATAAACATGGTTGGGTTTCTTCTCATCTTCAAACCCAGGAGGTTGCTCAACATAGACAAGCTCATTGATGTACCCACTGAGAAATGCACTCTTCACATCCATTTGGTACAACTTGATGTTGTGGGCACAAGCATAGGCTAACAAGATCCTAATTGCTTCCAATCTTGCAACCGGGGCATACGTTTCTCCAAAGTCAAGACCATCAACTTGAGTGTAACCTTGAGCCACTAATCTTGCTTTGTTCCTTACAACTATCCCATCTTGATCTTGCTTGTTCCAAAAGACCCATTTGGTTCCAATTACATTATGATCCTTAGGTCTTTCAACTAACTCCCATACTTGATTTCTTGTGAAGTTGTTTTGCTCTTCATGCTTACCATTCACCCAATCAACATAGAACAAAGCTTCATCTATCTTCTTTGGTTCAATGGATGACACAAATGAGAAATGCTCACAAAATGATGCCAATCTTGATCTTGTTTGCACACCTCTTGAGATATCACCAATTATAGAGTCCAAAGGATGATCTCTTGCAACGTTGGTTGGTTGGAGCACTTGAACTTGATTGCTTGCACTTGATTGCTCATTTGGTTGAGATAATGTACTAGCCACTTGTTGATCTTGCACTTTATCATCACTTGTACTAGCTTGATCTTATGATGAGCATCCTCAACATCTCATGCCTTAGAGGTAAACACATCAAGAACCAGTGAGAGATGTCCTCATCCTTGATCTTCTCACCCAAAGCCTTCAAGTCATTGACAATTACATGCAATCTATGGAACATCTTCGGAATGCTCTCATCATCATTTATCTTGAAGCTTGTCAACTTGTCCTTGAGGATGTATAGCTTGGCACTCTTCACCACCGGTGTGCTCTCATAGGTCTCCTCCAATCTCTTCCATACTTCACATGCTATATCAAGATCCTTGATTTGCTCAAACATCTTTGAATCAATGGCATTGTAGATGATGTTAAGAGCCATTGTATTGCATTGTTTGTTTGCCTTGTCTTGGTTGGTGAGATTGGTGGGATCAATAATTGCATAGTAATTCTCGGTCACTTCCCACACTTGATCATTGATTGAACCAAGATACATCTTCATCTTTCCTGAGGTTCACATGCTTTCCGGCATGCTAGTCCCCGTTGTGTCGACCAACACTTGGTGGTTCGACGGCTAAGAGGTGTTGCACGAACCTCATCCACACAATTGGACACTGTAAAAACCTACCCATAAGTGAGGTAACTCAATGACATGAGCAATCCACTAGAGTTACCTTCCGACTCTCCACCAGGGAAGGTACAAGACCCCTCACAATCACCGGAGTCGGCCACGAACAATCACCATCACGTGCCAAAGCTCCTCTACTGCTCCAAGCTATCTAGGTGGCGGCAACCACCAAGAGTAACAAGAAATCCATAGCTACAACAATCCCCAAGTGCCACTAGATGCAATCACTCAAGCAAATACACTTAAAATCACTCCAATCTCACTATGATGATGAATCAATGATGGAGATGAGTGGGAGGTGTTTGCTTAGGCTCACAAGGATGTCAAGAATGTCAAAGTGCCAAGAGAGTGAGCCCCAAGCCGACCAAACACTATTTATAGAGCCCCTCAAACGAATAGAGCAGTTAGGGTCAAGGGAGGGGGCTCTACGTACTGACTAGACACGTTGGTTGCTGACGGTAGTTAACAACCATTATAAACCATTAATATAACATGCATAAGGGCATAAATATAATCACCAACAAAGGTCTAGGGGTTTAAACTAACAAATTCCATGAGTTTTGGTGAATCTATATTTTCTGCATGGTTTATCCAGAAAATCATCAAGGTGGACCTACATGCAGATTTAATCACGCTTATCCACAGCGAAAAAGAATTTAGAAGGTTCCAGAAGACTTGAGAGGACTCCACACTGAAGCAGAGGGTAAGATGCCACACTCAAGAGTACCACTAGCCAAATTCCAAACTCTATAAGCCTTGCTAGTAGTGGAGTAACCAAGCAAGAAACCTTCATCACATTTCTTCTCAAACTTGCTCAATCTAGTCCCTTTCTTCAATATGTAGCATTTGCAACCAAAAACCCAAAAGTATGTAATACTTGGCTTTGTCCCATTCAAGAGCTCATATGGTTTCTTCTCCATCATTGGGTGACAATAGAGGTGGTTGCTATAGTAGCAAGCCGTGTTGATTGCTTCTGTCCAAAATGAATGACTCAGATTGTACTCACTCAACATTGATCTTGGCATGTCAATCAAAGTTCTGTTGTTCCTCTCAACTAGGCCATTTGTTTGTGGAGTATACTTGGTTGAGAATTGATGTCTAGTTCTAAATTCATCACATAGCTCATCAACTCTTGTATTCTTAAATTCACTTCCATTGTCACTTCTTATTTTCTTGATTGTGGTTTCAAACTCATTGTGAACTCTCTTGATGAATGTCTTGAATGTAGCAAACACATCACTC